TTAAAATTTTACATTATACAGGTATAATTTATTTTAGAAGGTTTTGGAAAAAAATTCATAAATACATAAATTAAATTATTAATTTATACTTATAAAAAATATTTTATTTTACTGTATTTAAAACTCTTTGGAAAATTTGTATAACAGTGAAATTTAACAAGTTTACCTTGTAATTCTTTATGGATATTAGAATAACATTAAAAATTGTATCTATCTCATTTAAAACTAGGTTGATCAATTTTCAAAAAAAAAAAAAGGAGTGCTAAATATGGTTATTAATAATTAATACTTCTTATAAAGTTAAATGTATACAAAATTTTACCTTTAAAATAAATTTAAGTTGTAAAATTTTTTAAGTTCGAGTTCGTTTTAATAATAATTACTCGTATCATTTTAAAATAAATTATTTTTAAAAAAAAAAATGGGGAGAGGAGGGAATAACTTATTTTTAAAATTTTGGTATTATATACATGATACATAAATTATCTATTATATACATGATAAATTTTGTTTAGAGTAAAATTATTAATTAAATATTTAAAAAATATTGAATGTTTCTTACAAACGATAAACTAATTGTTCTTACATAAAAAATTTTAAATATTGTTTCGAAACTTATTTCTTTGTTCTCATTACTCGATAAAATTTATTTATTTATTTATGTCTTTCAGAAAAATTATACATAATGTAATCTAAAATGCACAAAAAATTTATTTATTATTTTTTTTTAATCAAATAGTTACAAGATATGATTCGAAACCATGATAAATAAAAAAGTTATGTAAACTGATGTATATAAGAATCATGTTTAAAAACTTACACAATTTAAATGTCTAGTTAGTATTCTAAAAATGATTGCCTAAAACTCTCTAAGAAAAAAAAAACATTTTCTCTTTTTACAGTACTTGCCAGGTTTCACTTTATTACTTGCCTGCATAATGTAGGTCAGGACCATATCTTTTGATTTTAACTTAGTGAAAGACATTATCATTTTAAATATATATATATTAAAATACCAGCTCGTTTAAAAGTGCATTTAAAATATTTTTTTTTTTCGTTTTATTTATTAAAATATAGAACAACACATCAAAATGTGTCCGCTGTGGCCGTTTCATTTCGTACTCCTGTATATTCTATTGCTGGGACCATTATGGTTTGCTATGTGTTCAGCAGCTGTTTACGCAGCAAAAAGCATTCCGATGGAATTCGATCCTGAACGATTGGAATTAGGAATGGAAGAAACAAAACAAGTCTTTGTTTATTCTGAAGATCCGGAAATGTTTAAGCATAAATGGAAAGTAGAGAGTGTTCAAGAAAATATGAATATTCGATTTGAAAACGAGTCTTATTTATTGAATTTCAATACTTATGATAATTGGACTAGTGTTTTTAACGTGACGGGAAATTTTTTGGGAAAAGCCGTCGTCAAATTGCGTTCAATTGACGATCAAGGACAAGTGTACGAATCTAAAAATGGTTTATCCGTGACCGTGGTTCGCGGAAAGAGAAATTTGGACAGGATATTTACAATATCCATCATCGTATTGGTTTCTATATTGTACATCTCCTTTGGCTGTGCCATGGATTGGCAACTCGTTAAGGAAACGTTAAAAAAACCAATAGCTCCTCTTATAGGTTTCGTTTCGCAGTTTCTTTTTATGCCACTGGTAAGTTAATTATACAATTTCATCATTAGTATTACCGACATGATGATGTTTCTTTTATTAAAACACATGTAAGCAAGGTCATGTTTGCTGAAAAAAAAATGGCATTGTTAACTCAGAAAAATAATAATCGGATTTATAGAAAGAATTTTTTT